TCTCTCTCTCTCTCTCTCTCTCTCTCTCTCTGTGTGTGTGTGCGTGTGTGTGTGCGTGTTTATGTGAGTGTTTTTGTGCGCGCGGTCACTAGCCAGCTGGCTCGCTAGCGCCCGCGAGCTGCCGTGTGGCTCATTCTGGCCAGCTCACTTGACCAGGTATGCATTGCATAGTTGCCGCATCAACCACTCAAATTACGAGGAACATCTCACCATTCCCCGCCAGCCTCCTTCGTAGTCTGCCGCCCCACACATCGCATAGCTCCCGCAATGCCCACACATCTCGGAGGGTTGTGATTCGACAGTGAGGGAATACTTAATACAGATCCTCACATACAGTCTCCATTACCCTCTTTTCCCAGAGTTGCGCCCGGGCGACGGTCGTTCCATGCAGGGGCGTGGCCATCCGCCGAATGCAGGAGAGGGGATGGTCACAGACTAAGAAATTAACACAACCAGGATATAGCCATACGAAGCAGACATACACAAAGCAGACACCCGCGTGTTATGTTCGAACTTTCGACTTAGTCTTCAAGCTCACTCCCAAGTACATCAAAGTCGCCACCGCCCCACCAATCCGACACCTGCATGACAGGTAAAACGCGGCCCCATCTCCACATGGAGCAAAGAGGCAAGCAACCGCTGGGAGAAGGCGGAGATTGACACAAACAGAAGGGAAGGCTAAAGGCGAAATGCGAAAAGATTCGTGTTCGATACCACATGCATGATTGATAAATGCGAAGGCATTCGTCTCCTTTCACATCCTCATCAGACAACCAACTGCCTTCGTTCTTCCTGATAGCAACGTCCCTCCTCCTTCCCCCGAGCAATACCCCCACAACCAGCACCCGCGTGAAGGAGCTAACCTCGTGAGTTTCCCGCGGCAGTGGCTCGCTGACTCCTACTGCCGGGGGGCGATCTTTTTGCCCCTCGACTTTCAAGCATTCCCGACTCCTCCCGCCCGCGCTGAATCGACTACATCAAAATGACCCGATCCGCTCCACTCGACCGTCTCACTTTTCCTGCGCACCGTCGCGTCGACTGGGCCCGGTACCTTTTTCACATGGTCATACGCCTAACAACCTAACCCTAACCTGCAACTAATCTCCCGGGAAGGAGCTCCTGCGTTCAAAACTCGGAGTGCGGCAATAAGGCATCCGGGCCACGTAGACCCGCGTTCAAACGCCCCTCTCACGCGGCCAGAAGAAAGACGACGTCACTGCAGAAGAAGTCTAGATGAAGACTAGGCACACTACTTGGTGGTCTCCGCATCCTTCTGCATTGTGGCCTCGTCAGCTTTCCAGCATTGTTTTCCTTTTCTTATGTTTTACTAAGCTCTGTTCTTCTCTCAGGGGGACCTAGCCCAGTTGGTTAGGCACGCAAGTGGCATTCAGGAGGTTATGAGTTCACGCCCTCCTGGAGCACTCTAAGCGCCAACCAACTGTGATCCTCCTCTTGATACCCGGCACTTAGTCCCAACCGCTTGATACCCCTGACCGATATTAGTTGGTTTGTGACCAACATGTGAGTGTGAGCGTGAGTGGGTTGTATGTGGTGTGTGGGAGAGTGTTGGCCATAGCCATTGCCACTACTCGATGGGGGGTGGGGGAAGTAGAAGTAGCAGCCCCCCTCCCCACCAGCGGCCCCATCCTACTCCCCACCAGTACCTTTCCCCCCAAAAAAAACATGTGGCGGTTGACATAGGAGGTCGAATCGAAACCCAAAAAAAAAGTTATCGCACCTGCAGGGGTGGAAGGGGGAAGAGAAAGAGGAAGAGGGACAGAGAGAGAGAGAGAGAGAATCTTCTCCTGTTGTCATGGGATATTCATTCTCATTTCAAGTGTAACGTATGGCGCGCTAAACGAGAGAGAGAGAGAGAGAGAGAGAGAGAGTATGCAATGAACGAACCGGGATCCTCTCTCTCTCTCTCTCTTTCTCTCTCTCTCTCTCTCCCCTCACATTGTTGGTTTTTTTCCCCTCAAAGTTCAAATAGCTCCGTGCGTTGTCAAGGACTTTGTTTTTCTTAAATAAGCAAGTTTTCCAATTGTCTCTGCGTTTTTACTTTTTCCTTTTTTTTTAAGTATAATCGCTCTTTTTTTTTCGTATGTGCAAAAAGAAGAATCTCGTGGTGTTATCGGTAACTCAAGGCTTGGCAAGGTTTGGCTTAGTGGTAGCTCCAGGGTCGGAGTGGATAGCTGAGAAAGGTATCAGTGGTCTAATTGTGAGAAGTAACTATGATTGCAGGGGTCCCCTATATAGGTTTACGAGTAGTGGTAGGTAGATAGTGAAAGGTGAAATTGAAAAAAAAAAAACACAAGAGACTCATGCAAGCAAGGCTATCAAATTCACCTTTCGCTAGCTACCTACCACTACCAAGGCTATACAGGGGACCCCTGCAATCATAGCTACCTCTCACAATTAAGGGGATGCATGTTGCCCCCTACCCTGAGAGCGGTGGTCAGGGAATACAGTAAGGCAACCAGTGGGGGGCCGACTAACAAAAAGACACATATCTGCACCTCTTTTTTTTTCTAAGGCTAACACTTTCTCACTAGTGTAAATGTATTGATTAATTACGGTGCTGTCTTTTTTTTTTTTTTTTTACTCATTCCTTCGTATCTGCAACTATGTCATCACTTCGCTTCTTCATTTTTTCAACCCTTCATCTTTGTAATTATCTACATTATCAACGACCACCCACCATCGTGTACCTTTTCTTAACCCATAGAGTAGGTTTGCACCACAGTGTTGGTGCAATAACGAGCTACGCCATTCATTATGATGATATAGGGATGGGCAAGCATCACCGGGGGGGGGGATACACCCCAAACCTACATTAGCGATATGTGATAGCTAATTATCTACTAGTGGAACGCAACCCTTAGAGCTTAAACCATCACTCCCTCCGACATCAAGAAATTGGGGGGACCGGTAGCACAAGTTCATTAGAGCTACCGGTAGTATAGTGTGGAAAACTGAAAGAAACACAAAATTTAAAAATGTGTTGAAATGCCTCAACAATTTATTTCGTGGTTTAAATATTTTTTTTTAATATTTTTTTATGAAAAAATCACAAGCAAATCTACAAAAACAGTGAAAAATGTAATTTTCATAATTTTTTACATATTATTTGGATGGGGGGAAATCGCAAAAGTTTAGTTTTTTTCTCATTGGGCCACAAATGGCACAGTGGCAAAACTAGAACATGCACCAAATTGGTGCGGATGATTCTTTTTCTTTGTTCTGTTATTTTTATTGGAAAAATCACGACCTAGTATACCGATGTCGATCACATCGGTCCTGCAAAGGGGGAACCTCCCGACTATGTCACGCATAATTTTGCAGAATTTGGCGAGTAGAGAGCTTTGCATCGTCGGCTGAGATAGGGTCACGCGAGGGACAACTTATCTCCACCTGTGGGAGTAGTCACCATCCCTTAGGTGGTCGTATCCCCGTCGAGCTATCGAACCACGTGCGAAGGTTTTTCATATGCAATCATAGAGGTGGCCCGGTCGAAGGCGTTTCTCGTTCGTTATAGCATAGAAGGTACGTTTGGTTAATACCTGAATCGAACCCGTCCACAAATTATCATCCAAGGAGTTGATCTCTTGAACGCGACCTTATGCCAGTCGGCAAGGACAGTCAAATCTAACCACGAGGTATATCTCATAAAAAATAAAAATCGAACTTCATACGTAAATCGTGCCTAGTCTCTTTTTCGCATCTGACTCAGAACTGCTAATAGCAGAAATAGGTTGGTATTGCTCACGAAACTTTAAATAAATATTGCGGCAACATATGCTTTAGTCATATTGTATAGTCGTGCATGACTACGCAAGCAGTCACAAGGATGACGGACTATGTAGTACTCATAATCATGTGACCCTCAATGATCTTGAGGGTCACTTTCGACACTCAAGTGTTGGTTGACGTGCGTCTTGAGCGGTTAATCTATCGACACTAAGCAATCGCGAATGCAATTGTGAGACATACAATCTTTTGGTCCCTGCGCAGATGAGTGGCAGACAGGTTTTTGCCCTTTGTAGCGGTTGAACACCCCTAATACTGAAAGTGGGGTTCCATCATTGGAGATCTGTAAATAGGTCAAGCGGTTGACTTTGACAGTCGCTACGGACCTTAACGTTCAACTATAATAATTTTAAGAAGTAAAAGATAGAAAGGGATTTTTTATTTTTCTTAATACAAAACTATTTAATCATTATGCACGGTCTCAATGATTCATGCGGACACAAGAAACATAAATATAAGTGGTTATGAGATACGAGATTACCACTCTCACAATCACGGTGTGACTTCCTTCAAAACTATATATATGATTGCAGACAAAATCAAATATGGATTTTGACTCACAAAACATACCTACAGTCACACAAAAGATTCAACATCAACAAGCCACATACTACATGGAGTTAACTTCAACGACTCTTTGCACTCACACCCCTTGCCCTATTCACACAAACCCCAACCTCTGCCAACCTTTGAAAAAAAAATACTCAGCCTCTTTTTAAATGATTTTTAGTAAAAGTGCGGGTAAAAAAAAAAAAAAAAAACAATTCAACATATATGGGTTAAGGTCTTAGGTTGAGTATCGATAATAAATTAGAGTTGAGCTGGAAACTGACCTGTTATAAAAACTATAACATAAGTTGATCCTCGTACGATCAGGCTGAAGTTAATCAAGCCTTGAATCAATATGAGTAAAAATGACATGCACTACAGAATAGTCCAGTGCTTAAGCCATGCTTGAGTGAGTATGAAATATTTTTATCTTCCTTATCTTACCTCTGATATCTATCTGAGCGTACCATAAATTTTGGCAGTATCTCTCATAAGCACGGATAAACAATTAAACCCTCAAGGCTCTAAAATTATCAAACTCTTATGAATTTTACAAGATTTCGGCAACACTTCCCATAGGAAAAGTATCTTTGCAAAATTTATATATGACTAAATATAAAGTTTCAAACCGATCTTCTAATTTTAAAAGTTAAATTTTGTCTAACTCCCTGATTTAGTAAAAATATGGGTAACATCTCCTTTAGAGATGTAAGCTTCTCAACTTTATACTAAATCGAATACGAACTCAAGATAAAACTTTGAATTCTGTCAAAATAAAATTTTAACTAACTCATTAGATTTGTAGAAATTTCGGCGGCATTTGCCACAAGAAAAATATTTTTCAAAAATTTATAAAAGGTTAAATAAAAAATATAAAAGTAATTCTAACATGTGTAGCATCATGTTTGCGTTCGGAGGCAAACCCGAACATGTTAGCCGGAACGTGAACTAACCCCCCAAACCCTCCGAACGCGAAGTTAAAAAAATATTAAAAAATAAAATAAAATCTCATAAAAATAATAAACAAAAAGTCATATAAAACAACAATACAATAAACTTTTGCATTGAAATCATGTTCGAATTTTTAGCCAAACGTAAGTTAAAAATACAAAAAAAAAATATATATATATATACAGGGTAACCGGTGTTCGGGACGGGACGAACGCTCAAACCCGAACGCCCGAACGTACGGGACCCCTTGGAAATGCGTTCGGCCGTTTGGGCCAAACGCGGACCCAAAAAAAAAAAAAAAAAAAAAAAAAATCATCAAAAAAATCTATAAAAAAATATGTTATGAAGAAAAATAAATTAAACAAGATTTTCCTGAGCATTACATACGAATTCCTTACAAAATTTGAAAAAAAAAAAAAAACCGTAAAACAAATACTAATAAAATAGTAATAATACACCCATGAAATGTTGAAATGCAGGCCTGTGTTCGAATCCAGATGATGAAACTTAACGAGTAAAACCAACTACTAATGAATTGCTTGGGGCAGGTCAGCTCAATGATAGTATCTCAAGGCCGTCGCCCTTTTTAAAAAAAAAAAGAATAATAATATAAAAAAATAGTAATAATAAAAATAAATAAAAATAAAAAGA